CGAGGCCCGAGGGCCGCTCCAAGGGCAGCGGAGCCAAGCTCCGGCACTGGGGGTGAGGGAGGCCCGGGAGATGGGGGTGAGCCTGGCGGCACAGGGGTGCTGTCACGTCCTGCCAGGCCCCCGTTCCCTGCCTGGGCACGGCGAGGTTTTGCTGGGCTGCAAACCCTCCGCACCGGGAGTCTCCTACACGGGGGGCAAACAAGGCCTGGAGCAAGACCCAAGGAGCCCTGCTCCATGGGGAGGGGGTGGGATTTGCCTCCCTTCCTGCTGGAGCCGACCTTGCCCAATAAAGCCCTTCACCAAACAGCTCTGTGTCTGGTTTGGGGAGAGGGAGAGGGGTTTAATTGCCCAGGGAATGACTTGGAGCTTCGCCCACAGGATGCAATGATCCAGCCTCAAAGTGACGTTTCCAAGAGGGGAAAAAAATCATGTTTCCCCCAGACTGTCCCTCCCCCAGCCCTGCATCCCACTCCTGGGTCCCTGAGTGGTCAGTCCTGCCCTGGTTTTTCCTCCTCTTCCTCCTGGTAGAGGTTCAGCACCCAGCTCACAAACCAGCTGGCCAGGCAGGAGGAAGGGATCCCTCCCCAGGGAGGGATGCAGGGAGAAGCTGGGATGGAGGGCATGGCACCAGGCTTGCCAATCCCTCCAGGATGGGTGCTGAGCCCCCCACTCTGCAGACGTGAAGGGACCCCTGGGAGTTGCACTTTTGGTGGTCTCGGTTCTCTGATTCTTAGGCATAACTCAAAGGAGTTAAAAATCCACCAAATCCAGGGGAAGCCCCTCCAGCCCCAGCTCTGCCAGGTGTCTGGCTTGTCCCTCCTCCCATCCCACAGTGCTGTTGCAAGGGAGCAGCCCACCTGAGCCAGAGGGCTGGACTCAAGGACCGAGGAAACGGCTGGAGCTGTGTCAGAGGAGGTTTAGATTGGATTTTAGGAAAAGGTTCTTCCCCCAGAGGCTGGTCAGACACTGGAACAGGCTTCCCAAGGAGCTGTGCAGGGCCAGAAGTTGGACTAAATGATCCTTGTGGGTCCCTTCCAACTCAGGAGAGTCTGTGATTCCATGAATCTTCCGAATGTGCCTCATCAAGGACACAGCCCATGCACTGACCCCGCAGCTCATGGGCAAAACTACCCTGAGCACCACACGTGCTACAGGGCACAGGTCCAGGGGCAGAGGCTCCTCAGCACTGTCCCATTCCTGCCAGTCCCAGATCTCCTCCAATTCCTGGCCCATCTGGTTGCTCAGTGTTTAATTACGGAGTCCGAGGGCACAAAACCAGCCCCATTTGTCCTTTCACACCATCTGTGCCCGGAAAAGCTTCCAGCTCGTCTCATTTTTCTCCCTCGAATTGCTCTGCTCCACAACAAGGCTTTGTCTTCCCCTCTCACAGTTACCTGCTCCCTTCCAGCTCCCGGGAGCTGGCAGCCAGGAAGGAAATCAGAGGGAAGGCACGAGGAAGGCACTTTGCAGAGAAATTCAAGTCTCTGCTTTGTAAAAAGCTCTGAGGGTCTCAGGCCCAGGCCAGGTGCTGTGTCAGTGTTTGGGGACTGGGACCAGCCTGCCCTGACTGCAGCAAACCCTGCAGAGGGGTGGGCTGGGAGGGAGAAGCCCAACCTGTGGTTATGTGGCCACAATGGCCATCAGGGATTGAATCTCTGGGTTGCTTTCCATAGTCGGCAGCTTGGAGGAGCTTTGCCTGGGGGAGCAGGGAAAGAGGAAAGTATGGGAGAGAGTAGAAAAGAGTGTTAAAGGGGTTTGGGGTTTATTGGTTTTTTTTTTTTTAATCATTATTTTTTATTTTTTAAAGGCAGACTCAGGCTTGCTGAGTGCAGTATCACTAAGAGAAGTATTGATGATGATGATGATGATGTCATATTGGACTCTTACAACATTAATGAGGTACCATAACTTGGTACATTGGATTTGATTACGTGGAGGAGCAGCTGGATCAGCCTCAGGGAGGCCAGGCTGTCTGTGACCATAAACCCTCAGATCTGTCAGCACTGCCTTTTCCACTGTGTTTTCTCCCTGCAATGAAACCCAACCGTTCCCCTTAACGCCCGGCTCCCAGAGCGAGTAACGTGTCCCACACTGTGGTTCTGAGGCCTCTCAAAGCTGGTTACTTCAACTTCACCTCTGCCACCATCACGTACCTGGCACAGGAGGGAGG